TCTACCTTACTGGTCAGGAGAAACCCTTGCTCTAATATCAGTTTGTCAGATTCATTTTGAGTGGAGCTAGGTGAATACTATACACCATGTATCATCTTCCTTTAGAATTTCACACACCAGCACTAATAAAGTGGCTACTGTGCCAGCATACAGATGCCTTACTCATAACCAGTCCTGTTACGCTACATAATCTACACACAGAGATCTTGACTCAACATCATTAAAAACAAAATACAAAAATGGTATGAGAGATGAAGAATAATTAAAATGGTATTACATCACCATATACTAGACTAAAAGGAGATCTAATAGGGATTCTGAAAAGGCACGTGAAGGGTGTCTACAGGAAGGATATTTCCTGGACACATCGGCTTCACCTAACACTCATTTTCATCCTCCTTTAAGGATGGAGCTCATGATCAGATGGACAACTCAAAGCACCGTGATAAGGACCTTGGCAAAAGGAACGTAAGTCCATCTACTGAATAGATTAATTTTTGGACCAAACCTTAAAAGACCAGCTCAGACTGGGAAGAAGGGCAGAAAGAAAGACAGGTGATTGACCTTAGTCTTCCAGAATAAGATTTTTTTTAAAACAATCCTATTATTAAATCATCAATATTTTCTTCACAGATTATAAGCATTTTCTTTTTTTTTTTTAAACTATTTCTCCTTTGTAACACTGTTATTTCTGAAATAACTATTATCATCTTTATGATATGACATTGAAGACTACTAAGGCATGTGCAATGGAAAATCTGAGATTAGAATATGTTGTCCAGATATTTGGGTCTTGGTTCCATATTTTGTAATACCAACTCCCAGACTACAATTACACATACATGTTACACAATGGCAAGTTGATCCTTTGTTTTACCACTCCATAATAAACAAACTCCATTGACAAGTGATTGTTAAAAACTAACGCACCACAGAGAAGGAAAAGAAAACAAAATCTTTAGTGAAAAAGAACATAGAATGAAAACTCCAACAGTTCCATGTAGCACAAGTATTGCCACCATCATTCAGATCACATCTAACTAACTCAACAGATAAGAGAGTCCAGCTGAAAAATGAGATGAGGCACGACTTCATTCTCATTACCTTTCTGGGGCACAGTCATACAACCTAAATTAAGAAATCCCGTCATAATGTTGCAGCATTATGATAGATTATATTACACACAGAAGGTTTTTGGTAGTTGATGTATTTCATTATTTCCTGGTGGACACCAAGTTGACCATGAGCCAGCAACATGTCCTTGCTCCAAAAAAGGCAAATGCTATCTTGGGGTGCATTAGTCAAAGCACTGCCTGCAGGTAGAGGAAGGTGATCCTTTCCCTCTACCCAGCACTGCTGAGGCCAAACCTGGAGTACTGTGCCCAGTCCTGCGCTCCTTAGTACAAGACAGACATGGACATAGTGGAGAGAGTTGCATGGCCATCCAGCAAATGGCCACAAAGATGATTAAGGGACTGGAGCATCTCTCATATGAGTAAAGGCTGAGAGAACTGCGACTGTTCAGCCTGCAGAAGAGAAGGCTCAGGGGGGAATCTATCAATATATAAAAATACCTGAAGAAGGTGCAAAGAGGACGGAGCCAGGCTCTTTTCAGGGGTGCCCCACGACAGGGCCAGAGGCAATGGGCACAAACTAAAACGCAGGAGGTTCCATCTGAACATCAGGCTCACTTTTTTCACCGTGAGGGTGACCAAGCACCGGCACGGGTTGCCCAGAGAGGTTGTGGAGTCTCCATCCTTGGAGATACTCAAGAGCCATCTGGACACGGTCCTGGGCAACTGGCTCTGGGTGGCCCTGCTTCAGCAGGGGGGCTGGCACCGACAACCTCCAGAGGTCACTTCCAACCTCAACCATTCTGTGATTTCCTCTGTGAAGGAAATGTATCCATAACAGACCTCTGCAGCACACTTAAGAGATTTCTGTCATCACTTGTGGCACATCAATACCATCTGGAAATGTGGAAACGCGCCTCAGCTCCTCTCTTGTCCAGCTCGGCAACTGACACTGGATGAAGACTTCATCCAGTGTTGGTTTTTTTGTTTGCTTGTTTTGTTTTACTATGACCTTGTAAATATTTTCTATCTGCTTTAACAGGTCACCCGGTGGGAACACAATTATCAAAATAAGAAAGGATGCCCAGATAACCAGATCACTTCAATTTGGGGATAAAAAAGCCCTAGCGATAGAGAACATGCTATCTTTAACCCATGCTAACTACAAGGTCCTAAGTACACTATTTCTCGCTATGTTAAAAGAAAATAAACATATATACATATACTGTGCATATTCCATCAGTCAGCCAACTTTTCCAGGAAAAAAGTGTCACAGCTGTGCTGTTTAGTAAGCTTGCAACAAAGGAAAAATGCTATCGGAGGTGTCTCTCCAAGCAAAGTAACTAGACTGAGCATCAATTCATGATCTTACGCTTCATTTACAAGTCTGCAGAAAACGGGGTATCATCAATATTAAGGTTGAATACCTGAAATACACAGTTTCATTAGCTTGGTGAGAACAAAGTCTGCCGGCAGCATCCCCGGAGGCCCTGGCAGCGACCGCCAGTTCCCTGCGGCGGTGGGGTAGCGATGACATCATGCCAGGCTGAGCTCCGGCAGCCCCGACGCAGGAAAGCCCTGGAGAGACCCGCGGTGCTGGGGAAGCACCCCGCTTCCCCGCTCCCCCAGCCCTGCACCCTTCCAGCTGAAGTGCCAGCGCCTCCCTTCCAACAATGGACACTTAGGAGGCAAACTGTTTCAACAGTACAAGGATTCAGAACCTATTTTTCAGCACAGAAATAAGAAGGGGGGCGGGGGGGGAAACAGTGCACAATAACCCTTTCATTCAAACAAGAAAGCCTTCCAGGAAGTACAAAGTGTTTCAAAGCTTTATCCAAAACCCAGTGAAATCAACAGAGGCCCTTTCCATTTATACCAGTGGACACTGGAGAAGGCTATAACCTAAGACAGAATTTGAAAGCATTATCAGTCACACTATCGTGCATTATTACTAACACAACAAACTCAAGAAAATGCACCGGAATTCCAGCTAGCTCATATACTGTGACGTTATCATAGATTTATCCTCCTCCCCCTTGTTCCCCCCTTCTTTTTTCAAACCCTTTCCTCAAATCACGCAAAAATCAGTCTCCCCCACGAATACCAAAACCCATTCTCCCCCCCAAACCCACACCTTGTCACAAGCAATGCCATTACAGTATGATGGTGGAATAGCAGAGTCCGAGATACATTGCACACCACAGTTTTACATACTACAGATGTAGTCCTTGACCAGGAAAGCAAATACAGAAAGAACACCACGGTCCAGCTTTCAGACCTGCGCACTCAGACAGAATATTTTTTAAAAGGCACTGATGTCTTCCAGTTTACTACTAGATAGCTAGCTCAAAGTAATACACTGCTGGTTTTAAATTTAATTATGTGAGGACAGTTATTCATATTCCTATCGAGATCAGGGAGCATTACTGAGTGTGCCTTGCACCATGTTACACAAACAGATATATAGTAAATGAATAATAAAATTAACATCAGAAACTGTTTTCAATCTAGAAACGTTGTTCACTTGTGATTTAATCAGGAAAAATCTGTGGAACCTCACATATCCTTCAATGAAATCGTATTGCATTTTGTTCTCTTTGATTTCTTAAATTAAATTGATGCTGTAATTTAAAGTGCCATTATAGAGCAGACCGTTACGCTGTATTCACTCTTCAAGACTCAATTTGTAGTCTACAGTTATTTTAACATTAGTCAAACATGAATTCTTCTAGGGTAAGGTACTGCTCAGCATGAGGGACCCATAAGAAATTTTGTTTGAAGTCATTAAAAAAAAAAAAAAAAAAAAAAGAAAATTTTCATCATAGCCAAAGTTCAGGAGAGTTCAGTATAAGAATTCAGTTCTAATAACAAAAACTTCACTCCACACAAAACAAGTGTTTATTTGTGGGGGAGGGGTTAGACACAACGATGTAAAGAAACCCTCATGACACCTTATAAAAGCAAGCTAATTTAAAAAAAGCGGGAGGGTGTGGGGGGGTGGAGAACATATCATTGGTCAAGTTCTGAGCTCAAATACACGAAATAAGTACTGATGTTAGGTCAGGTTTTCACCACCGCATTCCTATGTCTTCCTGGACAGTTAAAGATGCTAAGCAACGATCTAATTTAACTGAAGCCAGTACAGTGAGACTAAAGCTGAAACAAGGTGCCGCTAAAACAAAGAACAAATTTTTTTTAACCTTAAAAAGACAGGTTTGACACAGTGTTGTGGGACAGACTGCTAGGGTTTAGCTGTGTATTTGGTGTGAACATTCTCATCGAACAGAGTAATTACTTCCTGACCCGATTTGTTTCCAGCTGCTGCTGGAAGAGAACCCTTATCCTATGCAACAACAAAACTCAACTGAGAACAAGCAAGAAGTCTTCGCCTTCCCTCCAGAATCTGATTCATTAAGATTACCTGCGTGTTTCCAACGCCCAAGAGCCTGACTAAAAGTTGGTAAAGGCAGCCCAGCTCCAGCAAGAGCGCGGCAGATGGCTGTTGAGACAGAGACGATCCGAAACAATGCCACCGCCCCCACGCAACCCTCGCTTCGGAAAGGCCGTTTAAAAGAGGAACTTTCTCGGGTTTTTCAAGAAGTTGGGCACACTTTGAGAACCACACGCCTGTGCACAGCCGGGCATTTCTGCACGCCAAGCTCTCCGGGCAGCCGCACAGACCCCGAGGCGCCGGTGCCGGCGGCGCGGGGCACAAGCGCCGCTGCCCGGG